ATCTATGAGCCATTTCAAAGTAGATTTCTAATTATTGCGAAGAGAAAATTAGATGACGACAAGATATCTAAAGCTGGCGAGTGTGGATCTGACGTATTTTAAATGGCTGTGAAACTGATTATGCTCCATCTAGGAGACGCAAATAAAATAAAGTTGAGAATGGCAACCGAAATTTATTTTCAAAAATTTACAAGTTACGTATGAATGACAAATGTGCCCCTCCCCCTGTGTTCAGCGATGCATTATCGAAGTTGCTTATCAAAGTTTCGCTTTATCAACTGGAATTGCAGCAATTCCATTCTTTATCAGTGTCTCCACCCCCTGACTGGTACGAAGCTTATTCATGCAAACCTCTTTCAAATAATAATCATATAGCGTGAAGTCTGGTAAGCGAAATCACATGCCAAGGAAATAGGGCCCTTACGATCTGCATGGAAACCCTGTGAACTCACAGGGTTTTGTCACTAAGAAGAATTTCTGAATCCATAACAGGAAGAAAATGGATACAAGATACAACACCAACACAATATGGCTACAACAGAATGGAGATACTGGACATACAGCCATTAGGGTATGCATTTATCGAACTCATCCGATAAACCATAAAGAATCTTTTTTTGATAAAAGCAGACTATTATTGGTTTTCTTCATAAACTGATTTTTAACGTATGGTTTAGCGAAAAGAAATATACAGCGTCTTCCTTAATGATATGCGAATATTTAAGGGTGTGAATCTACATGAAAAATTAATGTTACTTTGCTTTATAAACAATTGTCCAACAATGTTTCCTTACAAAAACTCGGGGTGTTGAAGTTTTAGGAAAAAAAACGGAAATTAATTCATATTTTCAGAACCGCTTCAGATATTTCCCTGATATTTAGTACGTAGTGGAAGTTAACAAAGTTACATATTTTTCAATGCAAAAATAATTTAAAGCTTTAACAGTGGCGTGCGTACAGGTATTGTCTTCGATGTTTTTTAAGAACAAAATGGTACGCCAATGGATTTTTGCCAAAGAAAAATTATTTTTGAATTTCCCGTTCAATTTAAAACATCTCTCTTGAATTGTTTTCGTTCGATCCGCCATTTTAGAGTAAAAAAATAAAAACCGTTCTATTGTCCGAGAAAATTAATGTAATTGAAGAATGCAATTTAGCAATAAATATCTAGTTGCTGTGGAATATGTCACTGGCTTTTGACATCTGACAAGTATCTGTTATTCATATCTGTTCGCTGTGACATCTTTTTCATTATTTAGTTTTTACAATCCTGTTAATAATGGTGAATTATTCAAATGCAGAAATGGCGAAAATGCATTACGTATATGGCTCGCCGACGGTAATGATGAGCAAGCCAGACGGATGTATCATCAGAGATATCCCGATCGTGCTTTGCCAGATAGTCGAACCTTTTCTAATATTCATCATCGTCTTGTTGGAACTAGTTCGGTCCGAAAAGGAACATCTGAAGGTAGACCTCTAAGTGTGAGAACACCTGAAATTGAGGAAGCAGTGCTGCACGAAGTCGAAGAACATCCTGAAACGAGTACGAGGAAGATCGCTAGACACTTGAATATTCGCCATCAAATTGTTTGGAGAATTTTAGTGGATTTTTTGTTATATCCTTACCATATTTTAAGGGTACAGGCATTACTTCCAATTGATTTTCCAAGGCGTGTGACCTTTGTCAGTGGTATCTTCAAAAAATTACACAAAATCCGCAATTCGAATCAATGATTCTGTTCACGGACGAAACTAATTTTTCTCGAAATGTCATTCAGAATTTCCACCATAATAATTTGTGAGCAGAAGAAAATCCCTGTGCCGTAACCGAAACCCATTTCCGACACCAATTTTTGGTTAACGTATGGGGACGACTTGACGGACAGACTTACCTCAATTGCAGGCACCATGCATGATGGTGCACGAGCGCATTTCATTGTAGCGGTTCGTAATTATTTACAAACTGTTTATCCAAATCATTGGATTGGCCGCGGTGGGCCCCAAGAATAGCCACCAAGGTCCTTAGACCTCAACAGTTTTGATTTCTTTTTGTAGGGCTATCTTAAGACACTAGTGTACACAAGTCGCATTAACACTGTAGAGGAATTAAGAGAAAGAATAGTCGCAGCTTGTGTTGGAATACAAAACACTCCAGAGATATTTCAACGAGTGCGCAATTCCATGAGGAGGGAGGAAGCATGGATACCAAGTGAAGGGGGCCATTTTGAACAATTTTTATAATCATTTCGTTGGTTTTAGTGTTATGTTTATCTTGCCAGTTGTTTTTGTTCATTATTACCCCCAATGTGTTCAATTTTTCCAATTAAATTAATAATAATTTTGCAAGTTAGACAATAGACCGGTTTTTATTTTTTTACTCCAAAAAGGGCGCATCAAAGGAACAAAATCCAAGAGAAATCATTTGTTTTAAACTGAACGGGGAATTCAAAAATAATTTTTACTGGCAAAAAACCACTGGAGTATCATTTTTTCTGAAAAAATATTGATGTCAATACCCGTACGCACGCTACTGTTAAAGCTAGAAATTATGTTTACATTGAAAAATATGCAACTTTATGAACTTCCACTACGTACTAAATATCAGTGAAATATATAAAGCGGTTCTGAAAATATTAATTAAATTCCATTTTTTTCCTAAAACTTCAACACCCCGAGTTTTTGTAAGGAAACATTTTGGACCATAGTTTATAAGGCAAACTAACATTAATTTTTCATATAAATTCACACCCGTAAATATTCGCATATCATTAAGGAACACCCTGCATAATAAGGCAGTTGTGGATAATGCGTTACGAGATTCCCTCATAGCAGTGGGAGGTTTGTTGCTGTTATATTTCAGATATACCGTGCCAGAATTACGGAGCTACCCACTTAAGAGCCAGTTTTTGTCTCTATAGGGATATCCAGCATCCAAATGATATGATGATATGGGATTTTTCCAATCCAAGTATAAATAGTTCATCAGATTACCCTGGCAACGTGTCCCAGATGGTTTATTTGATTACTTCCCACTCATACTCGTTTAACGTGAGTGGGGAAGATCATTTTAAGAAGAAAAAAGCTTATTTTAACCCTGATTGGATAAAAACTTTATTCTATTTCATTGACTTTTTTATTCTAAGTGTCTAGTCTCTCCGATATACAATGGAGGTACTGGAATTACCTTTAGAGAGGCTCAACAGTTTGATGGTTAGTTGAATAGGATCTATCTGCTTTCCTTCTCTTCAACTATAACCAACCGTATTCAACGTTGTTCTTTGCTTTTTAGCAATCACCTGTGCGTTACAAGTCTAATAATTTAGGAAACAGATGACAAAAAACTTGGTTCTACTGAGAAACTATGCACCCGTTACATAAACTGAAACACTGGCTGATGTTGATGTCGAGAGTCTTACGACTTACCTGCTTAATTTCATAAACTAAAATAATATAACACAAAATCTGAAAGATTACAATGGCAAGTAGACCACATCTGCTACTGGTAGATGGCGCTTCGTATTATTTCGATAGATAACACACTTTGGATAGTGTATAGTACCTATGTTCGTCGTCTGAGATAGCTAAGCCTACATCATGCTGAGGAATAGACAAAAAGCACAAAACAGCTGTCCAACGTTGGCTGTCTTCGGTCGGATAGACGAAAGTAGAGGAATGTTTACTTTGATGATAATTGTGATCTGCCGCTCAACCCTTGTTAAATATAAAAAAAGCCTAGCCTAAACCTTTAACACGCAGAAACAAAAATCGAACGTACGGGTCACCTAACATAATTCTAATCTAATAGTTACGGATTGCTGTTGATGTTGAACATGATCTATTGTATAAATTCTGGACATGAAACAGACCGTTTGCGACGCCTTTTTTTATGAACAAGAGGAAATAGAATAGAAAGGATTTATTTAGCTTTAACAATAATAAATATTATTTACAAAAATATATAAAATATACAAAGAGGTCGTCACATCAAACCAAAATAGTCTCTCCGAAGTCTCTTTTTGAAAATGTTAGCATTACTAGATGTTTTTACATTAATAGGCAGACTGTTGTACATTTTTAGACCTTCAACAAACACTGACTTTTCTAAACCTCTAAATCTAAATCTTTGTATATGGAAATTTTCTTTTGATCTAATGTCGTAACCTTGCATTTCATTTTTTTCTTTTAGAAACTGATCAGGATAAGGTGGAACCTGATTATTGATAATTTTATATAAAATAATTAAGTTTGCCTCTTGAATAATTTGGTGTAAAAATTTAATGCCTTTAGCATATATGCTGTATATGGGTATACCTGCTACAATTTAACAAAATCCGCATACACTTATTTAATAGAATTTGCAACCTTTGCTTTTGCTCATTTGTGCACAATAAGTAAAATGGGGAAGCATTATTATATTGTCGACTATCCTACTGCACCACTTAGATTCTCACAAATTCTACGAAAATACCCTATCCTTTTGCCTAATTTCACATATAGTCAACATGTTTGTTGAAAGTTAGTGCTGATTATTATAATACCTAAATACTAGACACTACCTACAAAATCAAGTACCTCTCCCTCAATTTTCACTGGCATATTTAAATCCACCAATTTCCTGCAATTATTCTTCGAACCTATAATCATACATTTCGTTTTTCTTTCATTTAATTTAATCTTGTTTGTTTTTAACCATAAACTAAGTTTGCTCATTTCACTTTCATTACATCTACAATTTTGTTACTTACTGAACTAACTGAAATTAATGTATCATCCGCAAACAAATTTATAAAAGAATTGCTGAGGACATTCGACATATCATTGACATATAGAATAAACAGCAATGGGCCTAGTACACTACCTTGAGGTACTCCATGATCAACAGAAACACTACTTAATATTTTACTTTCAATTTTTACCACTTGTAACCGTTCTAAATAATCACCCACCCACAAGAGCGCTGAACCCGTAATTCCTCTCAATAGTTTCAAACACTCTTTTTAGATCATCTGACACACACACACAATCACTTTACCATCATCTACATCTTTTTTCCACTTTGTACATACAAATTGGCGTGCAGTTTCACAATAATGATTTCTTCTGAACCCGGATTGCCTCTCAAAAGGAACATCGTTCACACGTAGATGCTCACTCAGCTGTTCATGCACTGTTATTTCTATAACTTTGTCGACGACTGGCATAAGACTGATGGGTCGCAAGTCTTCTGGCTTACGTGGATTGTTTGTTTTGGGTACTGGGACTATAATACTCCTCTTCAACAACGAAGGCGTAGGGGGTAGCCAATTTACATCAAACAATTGGTTCACCAAACTGCATGTAAGTGCTTCATCACCCGTAGATTTTTTCTTTAATTGAAAAACAGTTTTGCGTAGCTTACTCAATGAAATTTCTTGAAACCTCCAAAATTCCTCTTCTAAAGGCACTGCTGCCATTATAGCTCCCTCTTTACTTGAAGGTATGTTGCTTACTATATCAGTTAGACTCTTGATAAAATAATTGTTCAATTTATTCTGTACAGTGTCACAGCCATTAATTTCTAAAGACATATAATCAATGTGTACATGTTTGTTATTAACGAGGTCTTTCAAGGTTCTCCACATTTGTTTGCCGTCTCCTTTGCGTCTGTCAATCTTTTCTTCAAAATACTGCTTTTGTCTTATAAGAGCAACAACGTTTTTCTTTATATTTTTCGAAGTCATGCCTCAGGTTGGTAAATTTGAAAATCGTGGTATGATTCCTCTTTCCTTTTTTCTAATTAATTAATGAATTAATAAAGAACTATAAATGAAATCTATTGGTCAGTCGATGCAAACCATAATACCTCGATAAAGCGGAAAGTAGGGAGGGTTAAGAGCGCCAGTGACTTAAGACAGATTAAGCCACAAATCCTCGAGATGTTAGTCGGAACTTGTTTTGCTTGACCAGTTCAAAAAAGAAAAGAAACTAACAGTAATGGCGAAACGTAATCATTTGAACACAGAGAGCCAAATAAAACAAGATATTTAAAAAAAGATTCACAATATATTATCAAAACAAGCAACACATATGCTTCCTCGCTGGAGTGCAAGTTAAAAGAAAGGACATTATTCAAAACTGCCTGTCAATAAAATTGTTAGACCTTGATAATTAACCCTGCAAAACGTTTACCATGGTACACGTACGAAGGCTGTACAAATATAGGTTTTACAAATATTTTAACGTCTAAACCCAAGCTTATCCGGACAGTGGACTTTTCTAGTTACGGCTCTAGGCGCAGCTGAGATGTCCACAGCTCACAAACGCTCAGGTCACAAACCAGTGGCCAGTAGTGAGCTGTAACGTGAGGAACGTACAAGGTAGGGGCTGCTTGCCTCGTTTTCCAAAATTTACTGTATAAGAAAACCCTAGAGAGTGAAAGGCTGCTTAAAAATCTACTCTCTACTCGGTCTGAAACAAAACTACTCGCTGAAAACACTCAAACTTAGAAAAACCATGTACATTCTCTTTTACAAGAAAAGTAAAGCAAAGGCAAGAAAAGACAGAAACTACTAAAGTGATACACCCTGAAATTCATTGCTTGTTCTAAAGTAAAGTTATGGCAGCTCAAAAATCAAAACCGTAATCAATGTATGGAGTAAGCTCAAAAGAAGTTGACATGTAGACACTGCCCGATATATGAATACGAAAATACCAAACAAAATCAAGTACACTCTAAGAATTTCAGTCAGCGATAATCAATATATTAACATCTATGAAATACCCAGTTAAAATTATATTTTACCTATTCACATCAGGGTTCCAGCGAAACAGCTACAAGGCAGCTACAAAACAAAGCTGGAGGAGTGTGAATGGTGGTTCTCCGCAATGCCTTCCCAATAAAAGGAACCAGATATTGAACAAACTTCTTCAGGGCATGCATTAATGGACGTGGACGGACGGTATATAAAAAAAACTTACCGCTGAAGGTTAAAATCCCATAAGAAAATGGACTGGGTAGCACCAAAAAAAAACAACTAAACGTAAGGTACAAAATCAAAGGGTCTACTCCATAATCTGATGTTTGGGGCGTTAATATCCCAGAATATGGAAATTTATCACCAACGAAACGACCCACGCACAACGAAAATCTCAGCGGAAAGAAGAAAAGAAAATGGCGCTGAACCCGTAAAAAGGTATCTTGATAGGAAAGCAAATATTCTTATAGTACGTGCAGAAATCACAAGGTGGCGCTGGTTGCCAATGGGCAGAACCAACTCTACGAGAGACTAACGATATTTCTGAGATAGTCGTTAATAATATTATAAGATTAGTCTCCAAAAGATTTCAACACATTACTGAATCGCTGAGAAAGAAAGATATTATAAGTGTAAAATTATACAATCAATAAACTATGAAATTTGCCAAAAGAAAATAATGAAAAAGGGTTCTTCCTAGGAATCGGGACCCTGCCATTAATAAAGAGAAACTCAAATTGCTGATAAGTGTTCAAAATAGTAAAAAAAGGTTAAGTGATTTTGGCGCGTTATTCTCGGCCTTGACACAGTGCACCTTCAAGTTTCACAGATTGGGTGCGATCTTGCAAGTATGAACTGAATAGCGCTATATTTAGAATCCATCGTCAAGCCCTAAGATCTCAAAATAGCTAATAATGTTGAGTGGTTGATAGTATGAAACTATACTTTCAATTGAAATACTCAGGAATTATAGTTGAATGAGAAGCTATATCTGAAATGCCAGTTACTACTTTTTTACAAATGTTTCGGAATATAAAGTTAGGTTGTGAAACTCATATAATTAAGTTAACTGCATAGTATTAAATGAAATTATTAATTGCCGAATTATTCTTGGTATTATTTTTCTTCGGAGAGAAAACGTTCTTCTCATCGGGGCCCTGCGATCAATAGATAATCATGATTTCTAAAGTTCTCAAAATATTGACATTGTGTCAAAAGTAAAACTTTTCCCATTATTTCCATAAAAATATGTTTCGCAAAGCGTCCTCTTTCCTTTCTACCGATTCGCTTCATAGACTGATATTAGGGGACGTGGCTGCACAACCTCCATAGGCCACATCGATTTTTCCAAGAGTTGACGAAGATAAAATGTCGGTCAAGGGGTTACACCCACGTGTATCGGCGATATGACACATTCTGTTTCGGCTCCTCCCTTGAATAATATGCTACGAGGTATAGTTTCTTTATTAAATTGGATCTGAGTAGCATAGCGAAAGAAACTTGGACAAGTCACGGAACATAAATAAATGTTGTGCGGTTTCTTTCAAATTTCAATATTCAGGGAGAAGCAGGTTGTTTGATTAATTTTGATATGGTAGGTTGGATGTTTGGTATTGAATAGACAAGCCGTAAGTGCTAGGCTTCCGAACATAGTTACGTTTGGAAACTCTGAACAATCTCATCTAAAATATAAATATGAAAAATGTTTAGTTTACGAAATTAGCGCCGGCTATTTATCCTTCTTGCAAATAATTTCATTAGCTCTGAAAAGTATTTCACCAGTATTTAGTTTAACCACTTTCTGTGTCTATAGAAAACTGCATTCTGGTCTACATGCTTCTTACTTTGTAGACATACTGGTAGGTTCAGCCACTTTAGACAGAAACCAAATATATAGAATTTTTGCTTTTCCAGAAATCCTCCCAATGCTAATACAAACAATTATGATCAGTTATGATTTGTTAATTTTATTCATCTGTGACTTCCTAGTTTAGTCCGATGACGGAAATTTGAAATGTGCTCATAAAATGATTTGTAGGAGCCACTGTTGTGGTTGATTTCGCGATAGTAATTGTTTCCTGTAGATTGAGATATTGCTCAACCAGTGGTGTTATCCAGGAAAAGATCTGGGGGGAGGCTCAAGATCCAGGGTGACACGAAAATTCCGTCTCGTGGCGGGGAGGGGTGTCTTGGAGATATAAAGCTGCATAGCAGAGGGGGGACTCGCTTAGTCCAGGCAGCTACACTTCACAGAAGGTATAAAATGCTGCAATATGTCGAAGAAGCGTAATGAGCTGTTGCGCTTCGGGAGGGTAGACTCCGAGGAGCCCCAAAGCCCTCCCATGAATACGCCGGTGTGCCCACACCAGAAGCTAAACATACACGGTAATGTTTACCGAAAGGACATGCGATAAACAGGTTACAATAACAATAAGAGTTTTGAGTGTAGCAACTAGAATTCTTAGAAAAATTTTGCATGGAGTATCCTTCAAAACACTTTAAGGAGTGTGTATATTTCGTATTTTCAAGTGTTGTTCTGAAGATTTAAAAACAGGAAAATTGATATATCATTATCTTAAAAATCGGAGCAAATCCTTCCACTCTCAAATCTGCCGTTGGTAATAAAGGAATCATCAACTTGAACATTTTATAGACCAATTGCGTATGAGTGAAAGGCGAAAGGTATGAAATCAAAGGGCCCTGGCTGGAATGAAGCTTCTCAAACGCTCGGAGATTTTAGGTACGAATTCGCATCGTGTATCGACAGAGTGTGGGTAGAACAGTTGATTATGATTTGTTCACCAAAATATTCATACAGATCATATTGTGGCGGAATCATGAATCTGAATATCCGTAATAGTTAGTCAACCAGGCTGCTTAGCATATTATTAGAGTGTATGTCCAGCTTTATATCCACCCTTCAACTGAATAGATACACCCACACACATTTTAGTTTATGATTTACTGCCTGGAGGCGATCAAGATATCCAAATAAAGGGAAGAAAGGTTACAGGGGGATGGTTCACCTGAATGGGTTCCCTACTTATAATTTTATCGATTTCAACAGAGTAATGCGGAGTTTGGCATGTTATAGAGTAATTGAGTTTGTACAGGGTAATACATATTATTATTTTTTCTGTCTAGACGTGATATGATAAATAGCATTTTCTGGAAAATAGGCTTGAAAAATAGAGTGCTTTAGCGTTCCACCCATTGGCGATAACCCTGTCGTCCTGGTTTCCTTGACATTGTGCAATATCAGTAGCTACTATACTGATTCTAACAGAGGTTGGAATGGATTATTGTTAAGTTAAGTTTGAAAATGAGTGTAAGAGCGCTAAACTTAGTAACCAGAAAAGAAAGCAGATTTTCCAAACTGTGTGCTTACATCCTAAAAGCTTTTTCAGTGTAGATGAAAACAATCACTTTGTTTTTTGAATGTTCGTATTTATTTTTCAGGGAACATGAATAATGTAGTCTGAAGAGTATAAAATTAAAAAAAGAAATGGAACATCACATCTATTTTCTCTCAATATACTTGAACGATCTACTTTGGAAATGTTTGGCAATAATCATTGACGTAGAATGCAAAACTAAATAACAAATTTATATCGTATTTTCTTCTTTTTGGTACTACCCAGTCATGAATCACAAAAATTTAGTTGTTCAATAAAAAGAGTTCCAGCACGATGTAACTAACAACTTTTTAGGAGAGCATAAAAGAACGGTGGGCCTTTGGAGTCGCTATCGAATGATCTTATAATCCTCCA